TACCCTCTAAGCACTTTACGCTATTCCGGCGAAGGATATAATAAATTGGACGCGAGTTCTCACCGAAATACGAGCCTCGATACGAAAAATACGAATACGTGATAAACTATCGGCTGACGATAGGCCATTACTTGTTGCTCGAAAAACATATACAGGTATTTAGAAAAACGTCTCAAGAGATACCGTTTTTAAGTTGTCTTGAAATGTCTAAAAATGTTGTCACGACTTTCTGAAAGTGACAATTAGACTTATCTAAAATTATCTTTTGTGAAACATTCTTTGCACGTTTTAGTTGTTTGTATTACCGACTGCAACGTGTATTGATTGAAATACGGCATGACTAATCTGCATGTAACACGCCTTATAAAGATGTTTATCGTCGGTTAAAATCTGGTATTCCGATATTTTCCGTTATTTTTTGTTACAGAGAATGTCACAACAGTGTGACGATTAAGGTAAAGTTTTGCAAGAAACGTGTTAGCAAGAAGAACGCGAAAGAGAATCTGGAATTACTTGATAAATCGAGACATCAGTTTTATTTACTGATGCTTACATAACTTTACAAAAAAAAAATTGATCTATTATATATATCATGTATGAAAAAGAGAACTCGTTTAACGAAGTTATGCAAATGTTATATCGTTGTTGTGTCGATTTATCAAGCAATTCCTCTCGTGTTTTTCAACGCGTTTCCGCATAAATGTGACATAAAATATCTAAAAATAAGACTTCACTCTTATACAAGACTTTTAAAAAACACGACAAAACAATGACTGAAAGCGTCATATAAAAATTAAGATATATTAAATTAAGATATCGATTAAAAAATACAATATCTTACGAATTTTAAGACATTGCAATATTCTCAAGGACCTTATCGCGGAAAGAACGTCTTGTACACCCCGGATACGGAGCGAAAATAATCGACCGCAATTGTTTATGCAAATGCGCGAATAATGCGGCAAGGTTAACGTTATTCATCGCGGACACGTTTTTACGAGCATCCTTTATCAAGGCGCGCTTGATCGGCGCTTCGCTGTTATATAATTATATCTATTGTCTAGCCAAGTGTTTCGTTCTACAGCAACGTGCAACGATTCCTCTCTCTCTTTCTCTCTCTCTCTCTTTCTCTATTTTGATTCCATGATTAATTCCCGTCGCGCGACGTATTTTTAACGCCTCTCGGTAAAGGCTCTTCTAACGACGATCGTGAACGACTATTGAAACCATTCTCGCTCATCGATTCGTGCTGTATCGCAAGACTCGTTATAACATTGATTATACCTAATCTGAACTTTTCAAAAAGACTTCAATTATTGTTATTTCGACAAACGATTATCCTGGCGAAGATCAAGATTTGGAGCGACATTTTTTGTGTCGAAATAAAATGTACATCCTATTTAAACCGAATATATACGGCGAATGTATTTTTTCGAATATTACATTTGGAAAGAAAGCGCGACGAATATAGACCCACAGAAAGAAAGGGAAAATATAGGAAGACGAGGCTGAAAGAGGAACAGAAATATGATGTTGCAAAGAACAAAGGGAGCAATCTCTAATAGAAAAATAAAGTCGAAAGTAAGGGGAGAGTCACAGAAGTGTAAACAAAAGCTTCACGAAAACGTAAATTGAAACGGTGAAACGTAAAACAGACGTTTTTTTTTTAAAACGCTTATTTATGTTACAATTTACACCTCCCCGAAGATTTTTGTTTACGTTTCTGTCACCCTCCCCTTACGTTCAATTTGCTCCAATTTTTATTTCCGGGGTATGGATTGCTCGTCCCGATACTACCGGAGGGTCTCCACGGAAAAGTGTCATCTCTATTTTCCCCTGCAACCGATCTGTGGGCGCACAAGGGGATCACGTGGCGGCGCGCCGCTGGGGTTTCGACCCGCGGCAAAAACATGCGCCGTCTCGGCCGTTGTCGTCGTCGCGATGCTCCGCGAAAGCGACGACGCGAAGCCAGCGGCGGCGACGGCGGCGGTCTCGCGCGCAACATGGTGGGTTGCATTTTCCACGAAACACATTCGCGTGTGCGACGCGGGCGGTGTAAAAACACACGCACGCGCTCGTCGCGCGCGCGCGCGAGCGCTTCTCCCGGAGAGGAGCACGTGGAGTCTCGCTTTCTCTTTCTTCCGCGTACGAAAATACACCGAATGCAACGACGGCGGCGTGCACATAACATACACGATGTGTACGTCAATTTCGCGCAGGGAACAAACAGGGGGACAAAACTCACCATAATCGCGTACCGGCTGCCGACTGTAGCCCGCAGCGTTGCTCGCCGGCGTCACCCGGAACCTCTCCATGCCTCTCTGCCTCAGAGCTCCGCTTGCGCCTTCAACTGTGTGCCTGGCTGCCGCACACTCGGCCGCGACGTTTTTTTCGTTCCGTCACTTCCAGGAGACGAGGGTGCGGTGCGGTGCGGACGGCTGGCTGGCTGCAGGGCTCGCTGTCTCGATCACTCGCGACGCGGGACACACACTCGCGGGCGTAACGACACTCGGAGATAACGAACGAATCCGGCACGTTCGCGCGCGACCGCTCGCGTGCGCGCTCTCCATTCGCCGACGTGAGATTACGGGACGCTAGACGCTACTGTGCGCCGTGCGCGTCGCGTCGCCGGCCGTACGCCGCGACCGGCCCGGCGTTATCTTCACGCGAAACGCCGCGGACGCGGTGGTGGGGGTAAGGGCACTGACTGGAGTAGGAGCGACGGTCGCGCGGCCGAGCGAGAGAGACGGAATGAGGGAAACGTATCGAAGGGGAAAAATCGGAGTCCGCGTTGTCCTGGATGAAGAATAACGCCGCAAGGGTCTGCTCTGATCTTTAGCGTGCTCCTACGAGAGTTGACTGTTTCTATGTGGAAATAAAATATATCCCATTTAAATCGAATATATGGCATTGTATCTCTTTCGAATATATTGCACTTGGAAAGAAAAGCGCGACGAACAGGTCGACGGAAAGAAAGGGAAAATATAGGAAGACGAGGAGAAAAGAGAGGGAAGGAAATGTGATGATGCAAAGAACGATAACAGGGGAGCAATTTCCATTTAAAAATATAGAAATATAAGGGGCGAAAATCGAGCCGACAAATCGAACCGGTTTCGTTTCATTTAATATTTGGACAATTATATACGTTCCGACGAAGTGCTAGGGACACGGAATGGAAGGGAATGAGAAGTCTTACCTTTATAGAAATTGTAAAAATGTTGAGGAAGACGCGAGCGACGTGAAAGGGACATAACAGAGCCAGGAACGAGAGGAAGTGCAAGGAGACGGGAACTGAGTCAGCGGCCGAGGAAGAGCGGACATTGAATTGGCGACAGAGAGAATCGTCCGCGACTCGATAGGTCGACACGCTCCTTGTCGCAATCGCACGTCCGCGGTGACGGCCGCCCTCTCGCGGGTCCGTCAACCACCCACCGCGGGCGTGGGTGCGCAGTGACGTAACTAACAAGTTCATGACTGTCGCGCGTGCAGCGACAATGCGATATATGATTTCAGAGTTGCATTAATTATATAGGGTCGGGAAGGGTCGCCGAGTGCGGACGCATAAACAGAAGCTTGAAGGTTTCTGACGAAATTAATCACTCTTTTGTGGGTCTCCTCTAACAAATATTTGTATACCTGCTTGACACCTCTTTTTGTTTGCGTTATCTATCATTATACGCGCTGACTAAGCCTCCAAATATGTACTAGGAAGTACTTTGCGGAGCCAGTCCCGACGATCGATAACAGACAGTAATAATAGAATTTTATATATATATCTATACGGAATCGTGTAAATATAGTTGAAAAATAGATAATTGGGAGCGATTACAAAAGTTGGTTTCGTCAGACTTTCAAAAATTTTTTCATTCACACTCGGTAACTCTTCTAACGTAACTAGGTCTGTTTTTTGTGACTGAACTAATGTATACTACAGTTGTACTTAAATAAAATAAAATAGATATCGCTAATTTGCTTACAATACAACTCATGTCAATCGAATTTTACTTATTAAAATTTTTAAGAATTTTGACAATGAAACCAATCGACCTTTCGCTAGCATTATTCGACTAAGGTATTGGCCGTATATTGACCTTCGTTCGAAGGTGTCATTTTTGAAAAAGCAATGATTTCACGGTTACATGACGCATGTCGCGATATATATCACCGACACGCGGAATCGACTCATAATCGCTTCCAATGCTTCTATTTTCGCTGATAGTTTTTTTCAGGGCGACACACCGCGTCGCTCGGAAGGACGCGGCGTTACGACGACGAGCCGCGCAAAACCGCTGTTTTTTTTCCCTTCCTGGAAAACCACCGTAAATTTTCCGTCCGTACCACGGATCCAAGATATAATGCATAAAATATTATCGATTACGTGAACTGTCTTTTCGAAGGCGCGCAGACGAGGCGAATAACTTTCCGCGCGACGCCTTCTCATTTGCTCGCGTAGACGGCGCGCGACGTCCTTTGTTTTGCCTCGATCGAGAAACCGGAGAGACTTCGTGGAATGTCAATCGCTCATTGTTAAATCCGGTGTCGTTTTACTACAAGCCAGCGCAGACCTGAAAAAGTTTCCTTTGTCACTTTCGTCAAACTTTCAAATATAAATTTTTATTTTGAATATAACAATCATTATTAAGCATATATGTTAGTTTAGTTACAAAAAGAAAGGGCCTCTATAAGTATTTTTTAACTCTTTAACGACCGTGTGTCGGTACCTTGTTGTTTTACTTCGACGCTTATTTTTACGACACATACCCGTTTGTGGAGAATAATCGGCGAACTTCGTGCGCACCGAGGTAGACCGGGGGAAGGCGAAATTTTTTTTTATTTTCACCGACTCGCGCATCATCCCGTATCGGCGTGCGTGATCCGTCAATCGTGTACCCGTTGCCGGCGTTTATCTACCCGCGTCGCACGGCGATTTCGCGGAAGGGCCGCGAGCGAGCCAGTCGGCGCGTCGTCGGGGACGCGCAAGCGGCACGGTGTCGAGAGCGCGCGCGGTATTCGTCTCCTTTTGTTACTCTGCCCTTCTTCCTTTTTCTTTTCCTGCCAGTCGCGCAACCCGCAGGAACGCGCGCGAGCGGCGTTTCTCCGTCTCTCTCTCTCTCGCTTCCTCCTCTCTCTCTCCGTCTGTCTGTCTGGCGTTTCAAGCGCGAAACAGCTGATAGCAGTCCCTTTAATCGCGTCGCGGAGTCGTCGTCGTCGCGCGCGCGAGGTGAGAGAGAGTCGCTGACGACCGCCGTCGGAGGAGGACTTTGCCGTCCGCTTTGCCGCACGAATCAGGTGAGTATCCCGCCCGCGGTGCCCCGCGGTGGCGTCGCTCGCCGGTGCGCGAGCCGACTTTTGTAGGTTAGGGAGGGAAGTTTTCCCGGCGGCGCCCGTGCGGAGCGTACGAACGGAACGGGCGTCCCGTAGACTCGCGACCGGTCGCCATTTTCGAAACGCGAGCTCGAAACTTTCGCTTGGGTGCTCGCCCGGGGTAATTACCCGCCGCGGCTCTCTCGCTCGCGACGTCGTGGGGCACGTGGTGCCCTCGTTACCGAGGCCCGAGGGCGAAAATCTCGGAGTCGAATCTGTAGAACTCGAGACGAGACGTACGTCAAGATCCTCTCTCTCCATCTCCGTTTTCTCCTTCTCTCTCTCTCTCTCTCTTTCTCGCGCGCGCTCGTAACAATGAAACTCGAGGTCGCCGGGATTCTCTCATCGACGCGGAGTACACTTTTCTCTTCATTTTCCGTTTCACCGGCATCAGATCGATTCGCGCGGTTCATTCTCAAATTTTTCATCAACGTTATCGTACTCGGCTGGTATGTGGAAACGGTGATGGAACCGCGTGCCTTCGGTTATCATCGGACTTCGGAGATTCTCGTGAAAGAGCGTGGAGCGTCCGTATTCGAATCGCGCGCGCGCGACGCGCCGCCATGACAGTGCAGAGGGCGCTCGGATCGGGACGACGTCATGGACGTGACATCATCAATGGCCGCCGCCGTGTTGTCTGTGTACGCAACGGAGCGCGGCACCCTCGCAGGCCGTTGCGATAGCACGCGCAGGGGACGCCGATAGCTGGTTTTTCTGCAATTGTGGCCGAACGCGCGCGAGAAATGGGCTCGAAGAAACACAAGAAGCACAAGCGCGAGAGGCACGAAGGTGAGGAAACGGACGGACACGGACGCGCCGCGCGACTTTCTCCCGTTGATCGAGAGAGTGTGAAAGAGAGAGAGAGAGAGAGAGAGAGAGTGAGAAAGAAAGAGAGTGATTCCCGGTCGTACCCTCGCGTTCTCGACGGTCCGCGAGGTTTCTCTTCCTGACTCCGAGCTCATCGCCTTCGCGACTTAACCTCCCTTTTCCACCGCTCGTACGATCGTCGTCGCCGACGAGATCGTTGCCGGCCGTTTCGCCTCGTCCTGACGAAATAAACAGTCGGTAACGGCGATGTCAAACATGGTTTATTTCTGTCAACGAGGAAGGCTCGTTTCGTAGCCTTCTTCGGGAATTAGATGTAATAGGAATTAGAATTGTAAGAATGTATGTTACTGCGGCATCATTACATCGCACCAAACTGTGTACTTGTATATCAATCATTCAAAAAAAAAAAGGATTCGAATGAAAAATGAGGATGCCTCGAGGGGGGAGGGGGGAGAGAAATGATGGACCATTTGGGGCCCCCTCGTTTCCCGATTTGCCCAAAGACGGTCCACGTCTCTTTGCAATTTTCATTGGGATCCTTCTCATACTCATAGTTTAATGATGCACAGGAATTTTGACTTCGTTTTCACCACGGACAAACTGAGAGAGTGAGGTTGGAGTAGAAGTGAGGTGGATTCGAAAGTATAAACCGAGCGTGTTCCCACGGCAACAGGCGCGACGTGGAAGTAAGTGACGTGTAACAACGGACAAATGGACTGGTTGCACGACAGAAGCTCCTAGCTGTGCTTCGAGAACTTATCAGATGTCCCCTCCGCCCCCCCCTCTGCCCCCTTTCTACCTTTTCATTTTTTTTGTCCGTTGAGTCTGTTGAAGTGCAACAAGATTCTTGCGCTGAGATGTCCTCCTTGTCCGCAACGGAGTAATACGCAGCGAGGCGTAAGGTATCATACATTCAGACGGATTATCACACAGAGATAAACCTGTTGCACTTCAATCGTATAACTCCCTTGGCTGTTGTTATGTATCGTGTGGCGTTGAGTCACATATGCTTCGCTTGACCTCTTAGCGAGGTATCAATTTTAATGATTGCTCTCCCTGATTATTCCCGCCGATTATTCGATTTGATATACGTATATATATATATATATGTATATATAACGATGAAGATTATTTTATATAGCATATATTAAAAATTTGTTTGATTTAAGTCGAGCTACTTCCATCTCGCTTCCAGTTTGTTGAACGTGAAAACAAGGTCACTACTGTCCCATTAATATAAAATCATTTTTACATTATCATTCGATAAAATTCCTATCCATCTGTCTCCCTTAACGATCGTAGATTTTATGTCTGTTCACCATTTGCACCTCCTTTCGGTATTCATGTCATGCATCAACATTTCAGACGTCATTTTTTTTGTGTTACTATGTCGTACTCTTATCCTGCATCATCTCTGCGCAATTTCCCCGATTGCTGCATGTGGCACATTTACAACGGATCATACATATGGCTTTTTAGAGCAACAACATTTAGTACATTGCTTAAAAAGAAATCATTTTAATTACTCGAAACGCGTTAGCTCTCTCTAACTGTAGGTCTCTTTCTTCTTTTTTTCGACAGAAGGCCAGTACACAACGACGGACAAGCCGCCTAGTCTGAAGTTAATCTTGAAGGTAGGAGGTAGTACTGGAACACCTGAGCACGGCAGCGAGTCGCCGAGTCAGGCCGCAATGCTGTCGCAACACTATCAACAACAATTAGGTCTCAACTATTCCGTTAGTCAGGGAGATGCAGAATACGACAGATATGTCGGCCACAAGAAGCTCAAGAAGAAGAAGAAAAAGAAAGACAAACGGCATAAACATCATCATAAAGATAAGAAGAGACGGAGAGAGGAATCGAGTCAGGAATCGGTTGGCGACGCCGATGAGAATCTGGCCGAGCCTGCACCTAAGAAGGCATGTACCAATCACACTCAGTTGCTGCCGCCCAGACCACCGTCGACCGGTGAATTAAGGGTCGGCGTTAGTAACGTAAGCTCTCTGTCGCCGCATCGCGAGCCCAGGACATGCGTCCTCAGGAAGATAGCGGAGCGCACGCCCCTCCAGAGGCTGCTGGAGCATCTGTTGAGGTCGATGGAAAAGCGGGATCCACAGCAATTCTTCGCCTGGCCGGTCACAGACAGCATTGCGCCTGGTTACTCTCAGATAATCACGAATCCGATGGATTTCAGCACGATAAAGCAAAAGATAGACGACAACAACTATCAGAATTTGCAGGAATTCGTGGACGATTTCAAACTCATGTGCGACAACGCCATGACGTACAATCATCCCGACACCATCTACTACAAGGCGGCGAAGAAGCTGCTGCACGTCGGTTTGAAGATGGTCACCCCGGAGAAGCTGCGGCAGCTCAGGCCAGTTCTGATGTACATGAACGATATTACGAAGGAGGAGCTCGGATTCGAGTTGGGCAATGAAGATCTTAACAATCCGAACGCTCCTGCGACGGAGGAGCAGATCGAGCAGGAACGCGAGCAGGAGGAGCGTAACGAGGAGGCGGAGGAACTCAGGAAGGAGAATCAGAGGAAAATGAGACTAGCTAGTTTAGGCAAATTCGAGGCGATACCGGACGACTTGACGCCGGAGGAGATACTGAAGCAGGCTAGAGGCGCGGCCAAGGCGGCGGCGGAGAAACTCAGTCTGAAGAGGGTCAACTCGAAGATGGGTTTTCTGCGGCAGAAGAAGGACGGCACCACCAGCCTGCAGATCATCGTGCCCGGCGACGGGATCATTCCCGGGACCAATCAGAGGCCTGTGTCGCTGGGGCAGCTGATAGGCAAGCTGAATCACGGCACTGGAGCGTTGGCCGGATTCCGGGAGGATCGAAGGAACATGTCGAAGCCAGTGAAACCCCTCTACTACGGCGCGTTTGGCTCATACGCACCGAGCTACGACTCGACGTTCGCGAATCTCACCAAGGAGGAAACCGACCTGGTCTACCAGACTTACGGTGACGAGACTGCCGTGCAATACGCTGAATCTATTTTAGACTTCGCCAAGGACTGTGATTACACGTTGACCATGGTCGACGACCTGTTGGACATTCTCACGGGCGGCGATCATCGGAAGACGAAGAAATACCTCGAGGAAAAGCGAAGACTGAAGGAGGAGGAGGAAAAGATCAAGCATTTATTGGAGAAGCCTATGCAGGACGTGAATCGTAACATTCCGTTGTCGGATAAAGTCAAGGTCGATATTGATCAGCTGAAGACACTATCGGATCTCGGTATCGACACAAACTTCTTAGACAATTTAGGTATGATATTATGAAAGTAACAATGAAAAATTTATGTAGTATTTTAAGTAATCTAACCTAAAATAATATATATACCCAATTTATTTTTTAAATTTCGCTGTTTGGATATACTTTTGTATCTTATTTTTATCTTAAAATGTCGAAAAAGTATTTCAGTTTTGGTATGTCGATTATATAATAATTGAATCATTTCGAAGTGTTAATAATTTTGAAAAATTATTAAAGTATTATATATATTGCTTCTCTTTTGTGTTTATTTAATTAGACTTTTTTTTTATTTACAGAGGAAGAATTGAAATACAGCGAGGAACGTGCCGTTCTACAAAGCCGCCTTGACGACACGTCGCAGATGTTGGGTCGGCTGAAGCAGGTTCAGCACGAGCGTTTGTCGGCACCGCCGCCGGCCCATCTATCCAACGTTCCCAAGGCAGCGGAGGCGGAGGTGACACTGGCCGAGAAAATCACCGACAATCTCACCGATATAGCGAAGAAACTGCCACCGTCGGGGATCGCGCCGGTCGACGGATTGCGTAGGGCGATGGGCATAGCGCCGCTGGGCGGGCCGGAGCCCATGGAGGTCGAGCCGATCGCGCACAACCCCCCTATAGTCGCTGACAGTTCGTTACTGCCGAATCCGAGCAACAGCAACAATCAGGTGCTGTCGAATCTGTTGCCGAGTCCATCGCCGATTCAGAACGCGAGTCTGTTGAGCCCGACCGGCCAGCAAAATCAGAGTATCAGTATTGTGAGCGCGAGTCAGCCACCGCCATCGATTCAGATGCAGATCGGCATGACGCACACCAGTCAGACGCCACCGTCTTTACTGAGCGCGTCGGAACCGTCCGGCGTGGCTGATCTCGAGTCCGAGCTGCGCGAGTTCCTCGAGAGCGACGCCACGCTGGTACACTCGCCTCTCCATGACGACAAAACCCTGGAGGACATTCTCTCTGAGTCTTAGTGCGCGCGCGCGGTAATCCGAATGCTCCGCAATCCAATTAATTTATAAACATAAATAGGTATGTAAATTATAAATATAAATACAGAATTCTGTACATTTTATTATTGATACGCTACTTTCGCATATACGATTAATAAATTAAATCATATCCCGTGTCTAATTTTAACCAACTTGCCTTATTTCAGTCCTTCTATTCCATTTTCCTCAGCGAGAAGGCATTAAAATTAAGACACAACTGTAGAAGTAATGATATCATTTATCCATAAGATAAAATTATATCCTAAAGACGTCAATATGATTTAATTTGTCACTTGTAAATGATAAATAATGTAAGAATTACGTCATTACGACAAGATTTGACTTCTGTTTTATCTGGGCAAATATGTTAAAGAGAGCCTTATTAAATAATGAAATTAGTAGTAATATCATGTTTCTTGATATAAGGACTAAAAGGATTCGTCAAAGTTAACGGATAATGTAGATATTTTTTAATACTCTTTATATGATTTTGTAAAGTATGAAGTAATATAAAGTTTCTCTTATTATTGATGTAGACGCGCATATTATCTATTATTCCGCGCACGGTAGCTCATTTGTTACGCGATACTCGTAACGCTGGAATGTAATTTACATATATCGATACCCGATACGGCGTGCCACATTATCAGAGCACAATGCCGGTCCCGTATGCAGTATATACCGAAAGGCACATAAAGGAAATGCACAATGATGCTATCGATTACTGATAAGTGCGGCCGCTATCGCCCTGCATTCTGTGTTCCAAAAGCGTAATGGGGAAGACGAGGGACTAGCGCGCGATGAGTTTCGCTCGCGGTCGAAAATGAAATCAATCACGTGCTCGATGAAGCTCGATAACGCTACGAAATGTACGTTTTATATCGTGCAACACACGGGCCACTTATGTTCCGCGGACGTTCCAAATTTTCAAGAGATTAAATGCTCAATTCAATTCGCGAGGTTTGAAAGCTTAAGAATTACACCCGGAAGTATAAAAACTCGCGAGTGCTTTCACAAGAATCGAGAGGATTGTATTATAATTTAAGAGACGAATCGTGAATTTTTTCGCTCACAGACTCTGTTTATTTGTACAGAAAAATATTAAATTTATATTAGAAGCATGTGATTTTGAATTTTAGACGCGCGATGGATTTTTCAATCCCTGGCGAACGTAAAAATCAGAGCGTAAATCGAATGTAAGGGCAAAATAACAGTACCATAAACGAAACTTTTACGAAGCATAAATTGAAACAACGGAACGTAAAAGAAGCCTTTTAAAAGATAAACGCTTCTTTTACATTTTGCATTTACTCTTCCAATTTACACTTTCTAGAAATTTCGTTTTTTTTTTTCGCTTCACTTTTCCTTTACACTCGACTCGCGCTCTGATCTTCATTTTCGCTGGGGATTTTAAGCATAAGTAACGCGACTGTATACTTTCCTCTATTTTAATTCATCTAACAAGAGTGAAAAGGGATTATTATTTCAACCTCATTCGCGAGAATAGTATTGCAAAAGCGCAATGGATGAAACAGCGAGACTAAGCTATATAGATTAGTTTCTACGATAGCAATTGCGTTAATCCGTTTATGTCAGACAATATCGTTTCGCGGCTGTTGCAGCTGGCTGTATACGATCACACATGCGTTTACGAGAAATACGTAATTCCTCTCCCATAATCGTATTCCGTATCGCGTGTGCTCGGTGATCCGCCCGACAGAGGCCCGATTACGCAAATGCGAGAGTTTATTTTCGGAAATCACAGGCGGTCCTTTGCCGCCCGCACGTGCTCTTTGAACTGGAGTTTAATGACAAAAATAACCCCGCCCCTGGTGAAAGAGGTGAGTTATCACACCGACACCGAGTACACCCCGCTGTCAAAGATAAAATTGCAATGAATATTAATTAACCGTAAAACTGCATTTCGTGCCACGTCCCGCAGCATAAAGTTCAGCGTCGGACAAATTTATATTTATCCCTCTCGTATTGGAAAAGTTTCGCTTCTCCTCGACGATTCGAAAATATAATATTGTTTGAAATTAATATTTATTGTAATCACGATCTTTATACTTTTCTCCGAACTTTGTATAAGAATTTGGAAAGAAAGAATAATCGCGATCGATTAATTGACACGTCAATTTTACACACACGTGCTTATGTATAATAGATATAACGTTAGAGAAAGAGCGAGATCACGAGAGAAAGCGCAAAATGTGCGATTACAGCCCATTTCCGAAATTTTATAGATACCGAGGCAAAATGAAATATTTAGTTTGCTTTAGAGCCGTTTCAAAGTTGACGATTCAAAGTCTGTTCTTATTACAAGACCGTCTCAAGTAATGTCTTAAGACGCTAATACTTTGTGATTGATTTACGACTGTACTTAAGACGGTCTTAAATGCGATAACTGATTTAAATTAAACCGGTCTTAATTCGCATATGTTATACGCGAAATCGGTTGGACGTACTAGTGCGCGTTCAGTGCACATTAAAAGCCATTGTACACAAATTGATGTAAAAATTGTATGTTTAATATAAATATTATAAATAGATATTATATAAATATATTAAATAAAAATATATTAAATAGATTTAATATAAATATATTAAGTAGAAAAACGAGATATAGAAACGAGTTGAACCGCGAGATCTTAATAGATATATTTTTTATTGTATTAATTTGATAAAATATGTATACGCGGGGTATTTTATTAGTCGAGATACTTTACTTTTACATTGAGATTAAAACAGAGTGTACAATTAATGTATATGTACGTACACTGAGTGCGCACTAGCTAGTGCGTCCGATCGAAATTCGCTAATATTATGTAGCGACGGCGCGACGATTGAATAACAATTTTTGCACGACGTCGCGGGGGACTCTACATTCTAATGTAAACGAATCGCGCGCGCGACTTTTGGCGACCTTGCCCGAGCCGGCAGCCGGTATTAGCGGGCACTGGCGCGAGGGGGTGGGGCGCGAGTCGCGTCGCTACGCATTACTCTGCATTATCCTTCGGGACGCGGTCGCGGTGGGACGTGGGTATGTGTACAATACGTATACGACCGGAGAGTACGACTCTGATACGAATTCTCTGCGAACAATTAGAGATTTGTCAATCGGCACGACGGATTCGTCTGGTAAGAGACTCGTGGGGCGTTTCGAGACGACGACTGTTCGTCGAAGTTCGAGGCATCTCGCGTCTCATTCACGCGGAACAAAAGTCGCAGTGCTGCGGGGGACGGGAATTGTAAAGTATATTGCCTCTTCTAATGCGCGCATGCAGACGGTAATTGCTGAAATACGCTTAAATAATCGAATAAATCTAATATCGCGGCTCCGAATTTTCCACCGATATCAATGTACGTGCTACTTTGACGATCGTTTTTTCCGGAGTAATGCACGAATCGCCGTGGATCGGCTGACTCGAATGGAAGCCGTGATATGCCGACACGGTTAATTAATAACTTTCGTGGGATTTACGTATTCGAGGCGTATATCGCGCGTGCAATGTCTAGCGTTGATCGCGCGATTTTCGGGCGATCTCGTATACGTCGCGTCTTGATCAGGTCGAGCTTATAATTTGACTCACGTCGCGATCGCGGCGCATCGCAATGAAGTTGCGGCGAAATCGAATTTTTCGGTCATGGCGTAGCGTCGCGAATACGGAACGGATCGCGAGCGGCGCCGCGACGCGTTTAAACAGTAAGTAACAATCGTAATCAGCGTCGCGGTATATCCCGCGGTGATTAACGATCGCGTGAGTTCAGCGTACTTGCAGTGTATCGGTGACCCGATTGGGACGCGACATCTCGTAAGATTTATACGCGAAATCCACCGTCGCGAACAATTCGCGAGGCGACGATCGTAATCTCGAGCGCTGCATTATTCCGTGGGTTTTATCTGCGACTTCAGTGATCCCGAGTATTTATTCGTTCGTGTTACAATACGCGACGGTAATCGTCTTGTTAGAAACGTAGAACCGTAAGCCGTTTGTTATTTCAAGCGCGAGAAGTACGCGAAGGTGTGTATATATATGTATAGCGTCGCCGCGGCAGGTGGTGCGAAAAGTTGGCCGCGTGTCTCTTACGACGTCCCTCTGCCACGTTATAGATTCTTCCGTTGCGCTAATCGACAAGATGTCGCGGATCGTGGCTTTGTGCGCGATATTACGGTGATGATCGTCTCGTCGTGAGCACACGAAAACGCGCGTCGCGTATGATATCAGCATCGATATCGGGAGTGCCGTGCGTTCGTCGTTTGATTAGAGCGCGATCGTAACTATAATACGCGAGTGAAGGGATGTGGTGATATGAGTGTGTCTTATCGATGCAACAACCAGGAAGTCTGAGAGGAGGAGGTGGCCCGGGGATGGCATCAGGCACCGGCGAAACAACCGCGGGTAATTCATTATTTATTATCATTTGCATTGAATTGATTGTCCGTCGTTGTAACAGTCGCATATATTCTGTAGCCGTAATTTACATATATTATTGTGTGTAACACAATTCATACAGGGTATTCTGGATTATTTTGAGATACATATATATTTAAAAAATATATTAAATATATATAAGATATCTAATATTTTTTATACTTTTATGGAGAGACACATAAAATATTCCAACATATTTAATATATATAATTAATTAAATTATTTGTATAAGAAATAGATTTGTTCATTAAGTTTGATAGAATTTGAAAAGAAAGTTATTTTATAAATTATAATTTTGTTATTGAATATCTTTGTCTAAAAAATAAAAAAGTCAATGCACACGTTATAATTATTTTTTACAATTTTAATTATTTCGAGCATGAGTTTAATTGGAGTATATTTATATTTTACAGATTAAGTGATATGAGTGTGTCTTCGATGCAACAACCAGGAAGTCTGAGAGGAGGAGGTGGCCCAGAGGTGGCATCAGGCATCGGCGAAGCAACCGCGGGTAATTCATTATTTATTATCATCTGCATTGAATTGATTGTCCGTCGTTGTAACAGTCGCACATTCTGTATCTGTAATTTACATTATTGTGTAACACAA